TGTAACCGAAGCTGACTGTAGCCGGTGAGGTGGCAATTAGTAGAGGGTGTGGCAAGGTAGGTAGAGGGTTTTTAAGCAGGCACCTGTAGGGAGGCCTAGAGAGGAGAGGCCACTGTGGCGGTGGAGGAACCCGGATGCAGTTTGATCTCACCCGGAGGGAACGGGAGGACGGAGTAGGAAGTGATGGATGTTGAGTGTGAGTGTGAGTGGAAATAAGCGGAAGAAAAAGAAGCCATTGCAAATGCCAGATGATTATTGTGAGGTAAAAGATAGGGAAAAAGGAACAGAGTGTAAGGTATTTATCACACTGGTGCAGGAGGGAGCGACTTTTGATGTATGGAGCCCTATACAACTTTCGGTAGCCATATATAAGGAAATTGGGGATGTAATTAGTGTGACATTTTTTTAGGAATGGATCATTGTTGGTGGAGTGTAAGGATGAGGATCAGCAAAAGAAGGCAGTAAGGGTAAATGCATTAAATGGGCAGAAAGTAAAAGGGGTGAAAGTACAAAGCAGATTTAGAGTAATAACAGGGATCCCTGAGAAGGAGTCAATGGAAGGAATGTGTGCACATATAAAAAATGTAAAGGTGAGCGAGGCGAAAAGATTAAAAAGGCCTGTACTTTTCAAAAAAGAAAGTAAGAAACCAAAAATGTCTCCTGAACTTCTTTCCAATAAGGTCTTAGTATCTAAAGACACTTTCTTTACTTCCAGCTGAGTAACAAGCCTTTGCCTAGCCTGATTGTATTTATGACAGTACACTATTACATGTCTTCCTGTCCACCCATTGTCCCAGATATGTTGCCACGTTTTAATGGTTTTAGCCTTAACTATACTTTTTATCTCTGCTTTACTGTATTTCACATCTATATCTATATTATTTTTCCCTGTTGCTCTCTTTGCATGTTCATCGGCCATTTTGTTACCTTCCACTCCTATATGGGCTGGAACCCATAATAATGTCACCCTCCTCCCTGATGCTTGCATTCCATTTTGCTATCTGTAAAATTTCAATTAAAATATCTTCCCTTGATTCAGACTGAGAGTTCTGAATACTAATCAGTGCTGAACTAGAATCAGAGGCAATCACTGCCTGCAAACAATTATTAGACTCTAGCCACAAAAGCGCTAGCCATATGGCTACCAGTTCAGCAGCATACACCGCTAGGTCATCATTTATCCTTTTAGCCTTTGCTATGCCCATCTCAGGAATTACATAAGCTACCCCTACTCTCTTCTCAATATTTTTAGACGCATCTGTAAAAACCTTTACACACTGTTTGTATTTTCCCTGATATATAGTTGCTTACCCCATACTTATCTACTCCATCTTTCTTCCTTTCCTCCAACAGTCCTAAATCAACCTTCAATTCCTCTAATATCCAAGGAGGCACTACTGGATATGCCACAGTTGGACTGATGTTCAGAGAACCAATTCCCATATTATTCACCTTGTCTTTTATAACCCACCCATAACTTTTAACTTTCATACTTTCTTTTTTCTGACATTCCCTTAAAATGATATAAACTCTACTTTATATGTTTGGTTTTGTTTGGTTATTTTGTTTGTTAAAAACAGTACAGAATAGTCAGTAACTCCCGTTCCTTACTCCAGTCCAGTGGCGGCGGTAATGCACAATAAATAGTTGCTAACCGCCAATTAAAAAAAGAACAGGCCTAGAGAGGTGGTCCAATCTTTTGTGTGGAGTTGTGCTGTTTGGTAGCACTTCTTTGTGTGTTGGTGCACAGACGCGGTCTGGTTGAGCATGTAGGCCAAGTGAATATTGACTGTTTTGTTTTATTTTTACAAAGCTTTTTTTTCACTGAATTAGATGTTTTAAATGGAGACACAAACATCGTGCTGTCCGGTGACATGTCCATGTTGGTTTGTGCATGATCGGTCTGATGAGCAGGTAGGCTAAATAAATAGTGATTGTTTTGTTTCCTATTTTTGAAGCCTTGTTTTACTAATTAGGGAATTGTTTTAATGCAGACGCACACATTGTGTATTTGTCATTTGGTCACGCCCGTTCCTATCTTGGAAGTTAGTCCAGGGTTGGTGGCTGTGTTGTAGGTAATGTGAGGTTTTTATACAGTGCTTGTGTCTTGATTTTATTTTTCTAATGAGATTAAAGTAAACAAAATGCGTTTTGTGGTTATTTTTGTGTATTGTTAATTGTGTTTTTGTTAATTGTGTTTTTGCTGTTCCTCTGGTATTTTCTTTTGTTTGATTCCCCAGCTAGCCAGTACCTGCATGTGCGCGCTGTATGCCTCCAGTGCAAGGAGTTTATGGATTTTGTGAATCAGACTGGCTAGCGGGGAGTTTTTATTTAAAAAAATAAAATAAAAAATTTCTTCTACTTTTTTGTGTATTCATCACTTCCCAGCCTTGTGTTGCCAGCCAACTTTTGTACCCTCTGTTATATTGATGCTTTAGAACACATGAACTTGATTTGCATGAGACTTAAGTTTGCAGTGGAATTTTTGGTTTAGAGTATATTTTTGAGATTGTTATACTTTTTATGTAATATGATTTTGGGGTTATTTGTGTACTTTACTCTTTTGCTTTAACCCTTTGAAGTCCGCACCAAGAAAAAAGTGATGGAATTTTTTTTTTTTTTTGCATTTCTTATCTCCTTATGTCGCTAGAAACCACACTCAATGTATTTTTTTTTCAACACATCCCATAATTTTTCAAATATCGGCCTCTACCAAATGGTTGAGATGTCACTTAATGGTAAAAAATGGTACCGGATTTCATACACATACTTTGCCATACTTTTTCATTGCCCATCATAATTTATGATCAAAACCTTTTCTAGTCTTGACAAAACACATTGTCAGAAAGGTCTGAGTCTCAAGGTTCCATATTTTGTAACAGAAGTGATATTTGGACAGAAATGTATTAATTTGTTACAGCAGAATGCATACAATTAAATTCAATGGAATTTGTCATTTTTGGTATTACGCCTAAACAAAATCTCATGGGAACTTCAATTTTTGTGATAACAACTTCAAATTTGGAACACAACTTGGTTAGATATATATGGCTTTGATTTTATAGTCAAAAATGTTTTTTTTAAAATGTATTTTATATAAAATAAAAAATATTAAGTACAGTATATTTGATTTAATGTAAATTTAAAACTTCCATAACTTTTTCATACTTTTTTTTTTAAGTGCTTTTACTTAAGCAATAATCTGCTGAGTGTTTTCTTTAAAACATACGGAGCCCCCCTACTCCCACTTTGTCAAAAAATAATAATAATTATAACTAACTCGTGGCCTCAAGATAGTAACTCGTGGCTACTTGGGCGCAGAGATATCACGCAACACCTGAAATAAAGCTTGCCACAAAGAACTGGCAAAAGTAATGATTATGCATGACACATTTGAATTGTTTATTAATAAACTAGTGTTTTCTACGGAGCCTCCCTAGTCCCACTTTGTCAAAAAATAATAATAATTATAACTATCTCGTGGCCTCAAGATAGTAACTCATGGCCTCAAGATAGTAACTCGTGGCTCCTTAGGCGCAGAGATATCACGCAACACCTGAAATAAAGCTTGCCACAAAGAACCGGCAAAAGTAATGATTATGCATGAAACATTTTAATTGTTTATTAATAAACTAGTGTTTTCTATGTCAGTGGCTGCGAAGATAATGTTGACAATGCAGACTCGCCATCTTTGCAGTATTAACGCGCCTATAGAGAGAAATGCACACTTCATATGAATTAGCCTACATAAGCAGAGAGTATCCAATGTATCTTAGTTTTTAATTGTTTTGTTTAAAAGTACACATTTCGAGCTTTCTATAGATATACTTCTCAGGTCTGAGTTTTGGTTCATTTATGAGACACGCTCCAGTTAATGCGCCGGCGCCTCCATGTCCTGATTATATTGTCTACTATATTTGCTTCTTATTTATTAATCCAGGCAAATTTGTTGATGAAACATTGATTAAAATGAAAAATATAATTTATACAAAACGAAATTCACTTTAAAGAAAGGCTTTCTACAAAACAAAACTTAACAAAACAAAATAAGTGGTCAAAATCATGTCTGACCCATTCCAAATGTTTTCCGATATATTGGTAATCTTATGATCCTATCTTACTCGTCGCATGCGGTTCCCTTTTCATATAATCAACATAGATGAAATAAAACAAAATAACATTATATTATTTCAACATAAATATGAAACATATGTTTAAGTTTTTTAACTTATATTTAAGCGTCACACCGCTCCGCTTTGCTCACATGCTCTGGTGTGTGGCCTATAGACCCCTTTTCAGTTGGTAAACATGGTGACGTTTTTATGTGGGCGGAGCTTAGGTGGAGGCAGAACGATCCCTCTGGCCGCTTCCCTAACATTAGTTTGCAAGTATTGTTAACTTGTTTTTTAACAACGACTGGAGAAAATCCGACTTTATCTTAATGTGTAAGGTCACTCAGTGTCCAGGACCGTGATTGTTATTTGCAAAAGTTCATTTTAACGGACGGAACCAGATTGGCTGACCCATACTTTACACGCTCACTCAATGCATGGACGACCTGACAGGATTAACGTTACCTCCGGTTGAGTGGCCTGACTTCTACACCTATCTACCATATACATCTTGGTAACGCTTCCTTTTACGCACAGAACAGAGAGGCGGGGTGAGCAAAGCTCATTATCATTTAAAGTCATATGCACTGAAACGGCGTGCTAAAAACAGAGCTGTTTTTGACCAAGTAAAATAAGTGTTTTCTTACAATACTAATGAGAATTTGTAATTAAAGTATATTACAAACTTTTAATTTAGACCCTAAAGAATCATACTAGCTTGTACAAAAATGGCATTATATGACCCCTTTAAGCACTGTAACAAGGCTCCTTTAGAGGTCTTGATGTTACTGACTGCAGGATAAAAAAAGGGTTCCAGTTGTCAGTGATGCTGGTGTCAGATAGTCAGCCTAGGTTTAAGGGGTCGGCTTTGGGTCCCTCTCAGCGGTACGGCGCCTTTTTCCACCTTCACGGTCAGATGCTCCTTTCAGGTAATGCGTAACGTTAACCTGGATCGCCTCATCAGTAGCATCCTGGGTCGCCGGGTTCTTCCGGATGGCTCCTGTAGAAAATAAAGATCTGTCATTCCATTTGAATGGCATAAGGTCATACACATCTACTTAAATATAAAAAAAAAATATCCAACTTACTTTGAACAATGGTCTTCAGGAACATGTCTCTAAAACATGCTTTATCCCCTACACCAGTCCAGATTGTATTGATGGAAAGGTGATTAGAGAAGATACTCTGAAGCATTCGCCACACGGTTGTCTTTAGGTCCCTCCCACATTTTATTTCCAAAAACCGAAGCTGAAAATACAAAAATGTGTAACAAATTACATTTCTCTGAAGCTTCTCATAAATTTAAAATGTAACAGGCTGTGGATTCAGACTGTAGAATATGCAGTGTACAATCTTAATTTTACTTTTTAGATTACCCGATGGCGTTATAAACGAAATCAGAACACTTACAAATCGTTCCTGGAGCTCTTTATCCTGCCTCATACTGTTGTCAAGTAACGCCGAATCTTCCTGGGTGTCTAGGGGGAGTAACAGATCCCCTGGCAGGGATAACTCTCCAACAGACACATTGGCACTGAAAATGTTGCAGCATAGTGTCCATTTTGTTGTCCATGCTACGCACAACATCGCCAAACTCTACAAGACATTGCAGCATTGGGGTCTGATCTGCACCTAAACGGGTTCCCAGAATAAAAGAAAGTAGTCAGTCCTGGTCCCTCAACTACTAAACTATGACAGTTATATCTAGGTCTACTACATGTACAGATGGGCCCCAGTGGGAATTAAACCAACAACCAACGCCTGCGTTGTTTGCAAGTTGTACCTGATTGCCCAGTGCGAGCAAACGTCTTCAACATTGTCCCAACTTGCTTCATCTGCTCTCGAAGTGAGCCGCTGTCATCTGAAGCTACAAAATGAAAGGCATATGGTAATTTTGGACACACACAAAAAAAAGTTAAATTTAAGAAAGAGTGCATGTTCTCACCTGCTGGTGCATTGCTTTCACTCAGGGCTTGTTTTTCATTCTGGAGTCTCTGGAAATCTATATAAAAAAATAAAATAAAAAAACACAACTAAAGGCACTATTTTCAATACTGTTAAAACACTGGACACTAAGACATAGGCCTAGAATATACCTTCGTAGCAGAAAACTTCATGCTGTACACGAGGTGCCAGGGGAGTCCAAGGGGCAATAACTGAGCGATGACTTTCTCCTATTGTTTATTCAAGCACTCAATGAAGTTTTCAAATGGGAAGCATGAGATGTTATCAAGGACATCATACTTTTTGGCATCTTGTCTGAGGTGCACCAAACCAATTCATGCATGTTGTATGTCACAATGTTCTTTTCCATAAAGCTTGCTGCAGTGATCAAAGAGAACCAATATTAAAGTAACAACAGGTAACTTTTCAACCTTCATAATATATTTCCAAGTCTCTTGTGATGGTACATCGACTTACAATAGGTTGAATGACACGTCTGCCATAGCCTGACGGGGTCTGTAGCGTTTTTAATCGTACTTTTAACACTAGAACTACCGGAATTCTATAACTACTAGAACGACCATAGCGGTCATTCTGACCGCTCATACTTTGACGTTCATATTGCCGTACTGAACGTCATTTTCGTCATGCCACAACTACATTTGAACCTTCTTTTTAAGTTTTCCGATGAAACATTTAATTCCTGTCGTCATGTTATGACGTCATCACCATTAAAACCGCTTAAAACAAACATTGGCCCGACAGGTGCTGCCTCTGAGGAAAGTTTTGCGTCAAAAAAAATTTTTTTCCCCGCACTTACCACGTGAATAGACATGCAAAAAGTTAGGAAACGTCAAAGCTTCATGCCGTTTAGTACAGCCCTGTTTCTAAATAAGTTCAATAATCAATACAAAATCTAAAAATAAATGGATTTACAATGTTAAGATAGGTAATAATAAAGATCAGGACACAACATTTAAATTCAAATGAATGTGAACATTTATTTTCCAGCCTAATTGATAAATATTTTCTTATTTTCTTTGTACAATAAAAACAAATCTTATGAAACAATAACTTATAACATATATACAATAACAAAAACACTACATACATTTCATTACACCGTAAAAACTTTCATGGACAGTACGCAGCACAATACACAAAAACAGGTTAAGAAAAAACATGAACATTAGCTAGACAAAAAAATGAACTGATTTAGAACGATTAGTTTCAGTAAACAAAAAAAAACAAAAACAAAAAAATTAACGAACAAAATCAGGTTGACAAGTTTTCCTCAAAGCTCATTTGAACGGCACAAACACCCCGTATCATTCACTGACGCTTACGCACAGTCCACACAGGTAAACACCGCCTTTCGTGTGCAGCTCCCACACACCACTTTACGACATTTGGCACATGTCTCCTTGGTTTTATTTTGTTTGCAGTTCCTCCTTACTTGGCACTGCCGCCTTCTCTCCATCTGCTGCTGCTCCTGCCCGGGTCCTGGCTCACGCACCACAAGTTGTGAGGTTTTTGATCCCATGTGGTCGGAACGAAGTTCGCTCGCCAGTCGCGTGATGAAGTCCCTCCGCGAAACATGCTCATTTGTGCACTTATTGTACAATATGTGTGCGTTGATTGCAGCCAGGTCGAGGATGTTATAGAACACAGCTACTGGCCATCTACGGGAGGGTGCTTTTACTGAATATTTTCTAGCCATTTGATCTAGAACGTCTACTCCTACCTTGGTCTTGTTGTAGTATGTTACCGTCTCTGGCTTTCTTTTCTGGCCACTTGTGATGCCAACAGCTGTGTGGACAGTGCTGAGGATGCAGACATTCTTTTTTTTTTTGCCCTGATACACGGTCAGTGTTGCATCGCCACTTTTCAGCACCTCTGTGCTGAACAGCGGCTTTTGCGCCTTTACGCACGGGGGGAGCTCTCGTCTGCTCTTGTTTACCGTGCCAACCAAGCTGGTTTTCTTGGCCTGAAGTGCCTTTGCCAATTCAAAAGAAGTAAAAAAATTGTCGGTGGTCACATTTCTTCCCTTCCCCAGGTATGGGTCGACCATTTTCAGCACCACACTGTCTGCAAGTCGTTGACCTGGCCTCCTCGTCTCGTCTTTGCCCAGATAAGGCGCACCGTTTACCATATATTTGGTGTCGACATCCGCAGCAAGCCAGAATTTGATTCCGAATTTGTCCGGTTTGTTTGCAATATACTGTATGAAACTGCACCTTGATTTTGTAGGGAATAGCTGCTCATCCACAGTGATGTCGGCACCAGGCTTGTAGCAGGCGATGCAGTTTTGGACAAATTTATCCCAAACATCACTCATAAGGGCAAACTTGTTGTCTCGCAAGCGTGTGCGTCGGGTTTCCCTTTTGTCGAAACGAAGGAATCGCATTATTTCCTGAAACCTGTTTCGGGACATGGTCTCCTTGAAAAAAGCGCAGCCCCACTCGGCTGACCAAAAGGTCGCCAAATCCATCCCTTTTCCACCTTGCGCGCCACGAATGTAAATTAAACTAATGAAGGCTTTTAGCTCTTCGATTGTCATGTCCCATAGGTTGTCCTCCTTGACTCGATGGGCCTCAGCCACGGTGCAGTCCCTGATGTGTTTCAGCATGCCATCATCCACCAAACACAAAAAGGCTGTAAGGGCATCTTCAATATTGCGCTTGGCGTGCGCTGTGGGGCCTGCTGCTTCAGTTATTACATTTTGGCATTGTCGCCTTCCTCTGTCTTCACCCAACTCTACATAGGTCCACACTGTGCCGTCTTTCGCCGTTTCACGCCTTTCGGCTGAAAGGGGGTTTATTGGGCCAGGCTCCTCATCTCGTGGCGGACTGTGTTGTCTTGGCACAGAAGGCACATTTGAAGGATCAGGATTTTGCACTATTGCCAAAAAAAGAAAAGAAAAAAGAACAGACTAATTACTTTTTTAGTTCATGAAATCATAATCTTGATAATTAGTCCTTATGATTTCTAATAGCCTGACAATATAGTATTATAGGCTACTAATAATAGCAATAGAATAATAAAAATGAAAAGGTGTGTGTGCCGGTGGAGGTGTGTGCCTGACGTAAAAATCTGAATGAATGGATCGGTCATCAGGAAAGTTGCGTGTTTGCGTCGGTAACAGCGGTGGGTGTTAAATAAGTTAATATGATAACCGATCTGATCGGTAAAGTTATAGCCTACATTAGATAGTTAGAGATGGTTAACTTTACTTTGAAGTTACGTTACAACTATTATTGAGCTAGTCTGCCTCGCAAAGTATAAAAATATAGCTAGAGAAGAAGAGAAACATACCTGGAATATTATCCGATGGAACAAGGTCAGTTCCAGGATCGGAGATGTCCAGCCGGCTCTTTTTTCGACGGGGAATGAATTCATTATCTGAATCACTCTCAGCGCTGGATGAACTGTCTAGGGACCAAGAGACATCGCTGTCCCTATCCGTAACGTTACCTGCTCCTCCATCAGACTCCTCATCGTCAAGCATTCTAAGCATGGCTAAAACCTCTGTGGCTGTCATTGTTCTTTTTGATGACATTTTGTTAGCTAAAATGTATAATATTTATAGCGTAAATGTATAATATTCATAGCGTTGGAATAGCGTAAACAAAAAAAGACAAATCGTTGCTATGCAACGGGGACATTCGTTACAGTGGAGGGAAATGTAGCGGACTTATGATATCTATAATGCGTGCGGTCAAAATGACCGCCATGGCCATTCTAGGTAGAAATACTCAGAACTGTTTTGTGTTTTGTGATTTTAATAAAATAACAGTGTCAGAATAAAATATACACATATTTAGGAAAAGTCAGAGTCATACAGCCACATGGATTTTATTTTAACAAAGTTATTACACTGTAAAATTCAAAAACGGTCAAAATGACCGCCTTGGGAGTTCTAGTGTTAAACTTCGGGTTTCGGGTAGTAACCGGCGAACAAAGAGAACTACAAAATTCGACTGCTTTACGGCATATACGTCACTTCCACCACCACCCCCACTTCCTTAAAATCGGACTTGCGAGCCAAATGTTATAGTCATGGCCGAAGCAGCACAGAAAAACAAGAAAGCAAAGGTTTTATCGGAGCAAAGCAAAAAGAGAAAAACACGCTAAATTGTCAACCCGGTCGGTCAAATCCCTGAAAAATGAGTTTATCTATAGATCTACCTGTTGAGCCACTCGTGATCGACAAGTTATACCGCAAATTAGTTTAAATCTCCCGGAATCTAGAGCGAGCGCGCACGCGAGACAGAGACTGTGCTCCAACGCGCGCGGACGGCAGAGAGAGAAAGCGAGCGAGAGACCTTGCGTGTGCAGGGAGCATCGAACCCTCCATCGAAAAAAGAATGCCTCTCTCTAACCTCTCTAATTCGCTAGAGTAGTAGCGAATTATCAATCTGGTAGCTAGTAAACGATATTCTAGTTTTTGATGGTTAGCTATCGCTAGTATTCTCGTTCTGATTTGAACTTTGCAATCGATGAAATGCAAATAGCAAATGTTTGACCTAAAAAGTGTAGTCTACTCAACATGTACAAAGAAAGGAGGAAGATTATTAATAAAATCATATTTTAGGATACCTAACATGTCTATGATATTTGTTTATTTGTCTTGCCTCAAGCTATAATGCAAATCGATTTGTAAAATTTGCAGATTCATTTATGGTAGCTTGATATTATAATATTGACGATATATGGTTATTATCAACCACTCAAACATTGCATTGAAGTATCATATAGATCCAGTAAAACGGTAACCAATAGACTAGGCTACTATAATGACGCTGGCTTGTAAACGTGAGCATCGCGATCATTTGTCGTTAGAAAAAAAATAAAACCCATGAAATTATATTCATATGACATGCTGAAATATATGCCACTGTACCTGGGATGAAGACATTTCACACGCGACGCAAGCAGAACACCTGCATGTGACCTCCTCCTACAGTGTTCAGGGCTATCCTGGTTGTCAACAATTGCACGTGCATGTAGGATGACAGAGTTTACGACAGTAGTAGAGGACAATACTGTTTCCCAACTGTAGGGGGAGCCCGAGAGCAAAAAACTACCTGTTGTTACTTTAACCACTGTGGGTACATTGTGAACTGAACTAGCAGCATACTTGTTCGGACAAACAAAATAATTTACACAACCTATATACATTATTATGTCATGTTTTGTTAGAAAAAAACACAAGTTATACTTAGTCTTTCTAGATAAAGCTTTGGCTAACTACTGTAAGTAGCTAATTACATTTCTACATGTAACGTTACTAGCAACATTGCTTAACCTCAGTGTGTACTGTAACAAAGGCAAAACAGCATACGTTAGCTATAGGGTGACCACCCGACCCGCGTAGCGCGTGCGCGCACAGTGTTTGAAGCCCAATTCATGCGTCCCGCAAATTGAGACCGTGTCACGCATAATCAATGCTTGCTCAAAAAAAAAAAGTCGGTCGCTCTATATCCTCGAGCCCCAGGCAGCCAAACGAATATTACTTGACAGTTCAGCACGCTACTGTTGCCACACCCACGTGACCTCAGTTGAACTGCTGACTAGGTTGTTGTCAACTTTTTCATTGTTGTCATGACAGCGCAGTGAGCGCACCAACTCGTTCCGTGAACCTCTGGAGTTGTGAGTTAAGAATTTTTTTTAACTGTTCCTGTGGTGTTGAGCAACTACAATTCCTGTTAATCCTATAATTTTATATTATTACTTATTTAAAGTGAATAAATTGTAATGAAAAATAAATAAAATTAAATAGCTAAAGTAAATCGTAAGTGGAAGTGCATCTGTCAATTCATTGAATGTTCAAAATATTATGAATCTTTATTTAGAAAAAAATACACATTGGTTAGCCTATTCATGAGCATACATCAGCAATTACACATGTTTAGGGGTATAGGGCATTATTAATATACCATGTAAAGTGGTATGTGCTAGAAATGGGTAAACCACTATCAGTGAGTCTGCCCGTGGGGTGGGGGCACCGCCGCGCCAGGCAGTGTCCCACATTGTCCCTCAGAAACATACCCCTTGTCCCCCCTTGGGCTTATTAGCAGGTGGTCACCCTAGTTAGCTAACACTCGCTAACGTTAGCCACTCTAGCTACTGGACTAGCAGCATACTGCAAGAACAAAGATTACTAATTTAGATATTTTAAAAAGATAAACTAAAAACAATGTAAACATAATATTGCGTTACACAAAAAGGAAACATATACTTACTTAAACAACGGTAGTCGATGACTTTGCTAGCTAGCAAACTGTAGGCTGTAGTAACTTCGGCAATCTTCTTCTCTTGATTAATGGCGGATTGTAAGTTGTAACCAACTTTTAGGTGCATCCCGCCACCTAAGTGTACAGGAGTGTGTAACACCCTGTTCTAATCAAACTGAGGCAAACCAAAGCCCGCCAACTGATGCGCAATGTGATCTAGTCTAGACTAGTCATATTGTTAGGGGAGGGGCCAGCCTCAGGGGCTCCAGTGCGTCATCGAGCCACCGTTTTAACCCCGTCCAAAAAATCCTGAACACAGCAATGGTGCAAAACTGTTTAACGGTCTAACTCCACAATTCAGTACTTCACAGTTTACAGTCTTTGTAATGTGTTTTAGCAATACATTTTTAACATTATTAATGTGTTTAGATTTTTTTTAATTGCCTTTAAAAAAAATAATCTGCTAAATTGTTCATACCATGAATTAAATATCTATTTTAAAACCTTATCAGAAAGATATTTATTGCCAAGTAAGTTTTATTGCCAAATTATTTTTGGTTTATTGGTGCATGTCTCAAATGTGCATCAAAGAAATGTAAAAAATTTTTACCTGCATAAAATAATTACATTTATTTTACATAGCCTATATTACTGTATAATCTTCAGAGTTTCAAAGTAATTTAAATGTCATTTCCTGAACCTTATAATGGAATCAAGAGTCAAGAATCTGTTATAGCCTAAACCCTAAAATAATAATAGCCATGGCTGGTCGATTTTGAGAGTAGAAATCCTTGTATTTCAAAGTGGCTTGCCGCCAGCCGGCCGTGGTCCATTAGACGGAGGCAACCGGCAGAGAAAATGAAGCAGTCGGCCCGCCAGCTATTCGCCGGCGGCATCTCGCAAAAAATGGGAGTGACTAAGCAAAAACGTTTCATCCCCGCCAGCGAGACGCACCTATAGCCGACAGCTTAGGGCCGGCGGCAAAAATAAGTCGTGCAGATATTTTTTGCTATCTGGGATAAGGTAAGTACATGGGTTAGGGGTAGGTTCAAGGTTAGTACCTAGTTATTACCCAGTAATTATAGTTACTATAATAAGTACATAGTAAGTACATGGGTAACAGGACTGTAAAAGGAAGCGTTACCTACATCTTTAGATGCCTATAACTATGTGCTGAATGGTCATGTCATGACTTGTGTGGTACGATCCGCAGTTAGCCTAGCCAGCGCCGAGAGGACAACAATGTAAAGTGTGAAATTACGGTGCAATTTTAAATTTTAATTCATTTTTCATTGATTCTTGCACCCAACAACACAACAAGATTACATTTAATAATAATAATAATCATTTAAGCCCATTATTATGCAGCCTGTAGACTTGGAATTAAAAGCATGCATACAAAACACAGCGTCCGGAATAAATCCGCGGGATGAGCGTAGTGCACGCACAATAATAGGGCAGACAGCTGAAACCAACGCATACTGAAAAGACGCAGAACACAGAAGGTTGTGCTATAAATGCATTAGTCGTCTAAGTAGTCCAGAACGCGCTCCCCACTGAGTCCTAAGGGGTAAAGCACTGCATAGGCTACTTTTCGTGAACGGAGCGTGACACCTTCGAACACGGATCTCGGTAAACGCCTGTGAAAGTATGCGTCTTTCAGATCCACGCACCGCTATAAACCAGTCTCCGGGTTGAATGTGCGCGAGGATCTGTTTTATCGTAATCATTATATTACATTATAACGCGTGTTTAGCAAGTCTTATGCCACTCGGTACCACTTGAAGATACTCTTTAGTCTTTACCGCTATGGAGGTATTTTGTCATGTCTAATGTATTAATAGGGCCACCAGAATGCAACCAAAGCACAACAACTAGAAGGCTAGGTAATTGTAAATCATACAAAATAAATGCCATGATCACTAGATTTTATACAGGTGTTACTATAATGATTTTGTTAATGGTGATCAGCAATCAAATATTGATAATGTGGAAGTTACTGCCTTTTGCCTTAGCATGACTTCTCACTTTTTGCTGACAATACAAAGGCAGAGTACAGTAACTTTAAAATAGTGGTCAAAAGTCAAGTTTGAGCTCAAAATTTTGTTATGTAGATAATTTTCATTACTTAAACATTTAATTGCCAGATTTTCAGTGTCCTCCCTATAATTAATTTGGCGGGACAACTAAAAATCTTTAAAGTAATTTTTCTCAGTTCCACACTCTAGCGAGTTAAGGTCTTTTGCCTTTGTAGGGCAGTATGATGGCGACACGTAGGCTAACTTGAAAGTATTTGGAGGTGCAGAACAAAGGAGGAGGAGGAGAAAGTAACATGGAAAGTAGTTGAGAACGCCAGTTATAACGATCCACGTATTAAAATGGCCGGGTTTAAATCGGGCTCGGACTCATAATTATAGTTAATGTGTCGGGCCGGGCTCGGGTAGGGTCGGGCTTGATTTTTTGGGCCCGATCTAAGCTCTAAGTTGAGCACGGACACTCCAATGTTTGGGTAAGATGATGACACACACAACTGGATGTTAGCTGGCTGAGCAAGTTCAGCATCACTGAAGATTAAACATTAAAAATAGCACTCATATTCATGAATGAGTATTATATTATTAGCTTGCTAATAGCTAGTAAAGCTAATTATAAATTAGCCATCATGCTAGGTTGCATGAGTGCTATTTTTTAATGTTTAATCTTCAGTGATGCTGAACTTGCTCAACTAAGGCAGAGGCCGCATCTATCTAGGACGGTGAACCGAACGCGAACAATGGTGTAATGATTCAGTTCGACTCCCAAGACAAGACGATGCTCACCCGACTGGCCAATAGGAACGTTCCAATAGGAAAAAAAGAACGTGGCCCCGCCCATGACACAATATTCACAGCGAAAGCAAAATCCTGACACGAGAGCAAAAAATTGCATCGAGAGCAAAGAAAAGCGGTTTGAGAGAAACACTTTTTTTTTAGAGAAAATGTTTTCACACTGATAGCAAAAAATATATATTTAAGATTTTATTTCAAAGTATTTTGAGAGAGATTTTTTTTTAATGTTCTATGAGAAAATACTTTCTCTCAAAACTTTTTTTAGTCTCAAATTATATTTTTTTAATATTACAAATAAGAATATTTGAGAGAAAAAGTTTTCATATCAATAGCAAAAAATAATATTATATAATATTTGAAACCCAGTTTTTCTCTCATGAAATGCTTTTTTGCTATCAGTGTGATAACTTTTTGTCTCAAACTTTTTTTTTTTTCTCAGATCATTTATTTTCTCACATGTAATAAGACACATTAATAGCTCCATATGTTTTAACCCCTAATAATTCTGCCAATTGATTGTTTTTTTAGAAAGAATTTTCAAATAGCCATGTTGTTTTGTTAATTCTGCCAATTCCTGTATCTGAATTATGTCATTCTCTAAGTCTTTCATTGACTGATTTAAAACGTTGGTGCTGTTTTGAGCATACTGCTCAAAACAGCACTGTTTTCTGACACAATTTAAAACAATACTGTTTAATTTGTACTTTGCCAAAATCCCACCATTTTTATACTGATTGAAAAGATTATTTTTTTGTTCTGTAATCAGTCCAAAACAATTTAAAAGTGTATAAAATCCTTATTATCTAACAAAGTTAAATTAAAATGCCAGTAGCACTTTTAGGCTTGACAGAATTCAAAATAAAAGAACATTGCACCATGCAATGATCTGAAAAACCAACAGGAAAATTACAACAATTTTTAAAAATACCAGCATGATGCTTAAACACATAAAATCTGTCCAATCTTGCCAGAGATAAAACATTATCACGTGTATGTGCCCAAGTATATTGTCTTTTATCCTCATGATAAAACTTCCACACGTCACTTAACTCATGCTTATTTATTATTTGAATTAGACGTTTTCTTGACGGCATATGGGGTTCAATATGATTTCTGTCACAATTACTCACTGTACAATTAAAATCTCCTCCCATAAATAAATAATCATCATTAGAAACATCTTGTAAAACAGAACATAATGCATCTAAAAACCACATCCTATCAATTGTTGAGTTGGGGAAATACACACAAATAAAAACAAAATTATAATTCTCCACTTGTGCTCTCACTTTTAAAAGTCTACCCTTCAAAAACTTTTTAACTTGATATGAACTTCGATTAAATGTTTTTGCAAATAATATTGCTACTCCCCCACTTAACGTGGTGTTGTGACTGAAAAAAGATAAGCCTTCCCATTCCTTCATCCAATCATTAACATTGTTCACGTCACTATTTGTTTCCTGAATCAAAGTGACATCTATTTTTTTCAGCTTGATAATTTCATACAGCTCAGCTCTTTTTCTGTAATCTCTAGCACCATTAACATTCAAGGAGGCAATCCGCACTTCAGCCATACTAAAATAAATAAACAAACAAAAAAAACACAAGCAAAATCAGATTACCAATGTTCTTAGTCTTCATTTTCATTTAAATCCGTGCCAACTTTCCTCACAATCTTTTTCAAACGATAAACCTCCCTGTTTGAAAGGCACCCATCTGCTAATAGACTTCTGACTGCATTAGATCAGGGAAATATTCCTTTACAATAGGGATGTCCCGGTCAGGTTTTTTTGCCCTCGAGTCCGAGTCCGAGTCATTTGATTTTGAGTATCTGCCGATACCGAATCCCGATCCGATACTTCTATAATACATAAAAAAAGAATAAAGAAGAGCGAAAAAACATATCCAGGATGTTCCTTATTTTTTATTTAATTCACCGTATTTTAACATTCAACAACTCTGTTAACAAACAGAGCACTTCTGTGAGGTAGCTTGAACAATCAAGTAATAAATAACATAAATTCTTCACTTTTGGACTTTAGTGCAACAGTCAATATAAAAAAGTCTAATATAAAAACAAATAGCACCTCAACTTAAAATACCCGGCAGGCCAGGGGCCTCATTTATAAAACTGTCCGTTGAATCCTTACTAAAAGTGTAAGAAAAGTGTACCCGAAAGCCAAAAATGTCATACGCAAAAAAATATTCAGACTTATAAAACCGTGCGTACGCCAGAACCTGCGC